AGTGTAGCAGTCGGTGCCCTCGAAGTAGTCGGGGTCATCCTCAGCCAGGGTTCCTCTGCACATCTTGGGATCGTTGAACACGGCGAAGATGGCGATAAAGTGACGTCCGCTGAACGTTCATCCGTCGAGGACGATACCGAACGTGGCCGGTAGCTCTTCAGCAACCCTAGCCTCGACAGACTTGAATATGCGCATCAGGTACCTTTTCAGAGTTTTCTTGGCAATTGGGGTGAGCGACGCGTTCTTCCTCATCATTTTCCGCTCGACGAGGCTCAAGGGGAGACGGTCCATCACAACCCATTGATAACACCGGAAAATGTTGCGGATCGCCTCGTCTATGACACGTAGACGAAGCGAGTTGCGATCCTTGGCGCCTCGACCCACATCTTCGAGGTAGGTGGGGTGGTTGATGCGGAGGTGGGTTAGCAGGTTGCGCACTCTTGCACGGTTTAGAGCACGTCAGGCAAACGTACTCCTCCCCGAATTCTTGGTGAATAGGAGAGAGACCACGAGCTTGTTTCTGAGCGGCTTGTTGCTGGAGGACATTGCGGTAGTGTAGACAGGTTGAGCAACCGGTAGCTGGTAGAAAATTGAATTCTGAACAACTAAATCTTGTTTTAGAGTTATGCCCATTGGCCCCCGCTCTACTGGAATCCGATTAGCCAAACTGAGCCCAAATACTGACATGTGACTGGTCTAAATTGTAAACCTCTTAGTTTTGAGTACTATAGTGAGATTTGGACAAGTGGAACGCGCAGAAGTGACTGGCCTGCAGGCACGAACATTTGTTATTGGCCAAATTGACCCCAAATACAGATATGCGATTGAGTAAAATCTGTATGACGTATTCTTATTTGAATAATCGGATCTTGTAGTTTTGGCCAAAAGCATATTATAACAATAGGTTGCTAATATCCTGAAAAAAATATTTCCAGTAAAAATACATTATGACATATGTAATATGCAATATATTGTTTAGCCTTATTACTTTTTGCTCTTCACTGGTTAGCTTCCGATAATTTTTAATACTGCATGCTCCTGAGAATACACGGAGAGTAGCTTGGTTTATAATGGCTAACCTCGTTTAAAACAGAATAATTTACGCGAATCATCATTTGCACTCATCAAGATAATTAAACAAATGACTTTTCCGCCATTTTCACAGTCCTCCCAGCCTAAAGCCAAGCATCATACTTGTGTTCCGGAATGCACTTTGTTATTTTAATAGTGTTAGTACATATTGGCGACAAACATGACTGCCGAAGCGATTTCTAACACATATCGTTAGATGATAATGTCTTGTGTATTCATCCTGAAAATATGCGCTAGTGATATACTAGACTGGAAATGGGTGGTGTCAGTGCGTATCCAGAAGAATGCAGATTCACTAGGAGATTTGCAATTTCGATAGTACAAACTTGCTATAATCGCGGATGTAGCAACTATCGTCGCCCCGCGATAATACGTAGCAACGTAGATGCAGAGGCACGGTGAGCAAAACGGCGATCTCTCGATGGTGAGTTATGAAAACTCAACCTATCAACATGCATCAAGAAGTTACATCTGTCGTCTCTGCTTGTGTTGCGCTACCTTAACGGTGTATTACACGACAAATGAGTCATGCTGCAGCTACAAGTCAGCGAGGTGCGCCCGTATTATTTTTTATCCTGGTTGCGTCACGAGTAGCAGTACGTACAGCACTGTAGGGATTGATTTGACAATTATCTGTGCACCCCATTAATAGGAATCGATTCAGTCGAAATGTCGAATGATTTGGGTTTTCCCGCCAAATTGTATAAACTTC